GGGGGGGGGGGGGGGGTCGCGAAGTTAAGGGAGCGACATGGCAGTGTTTTCTCGTGGTGTTGCAAAAACAACCTGGTAACTTGCGAAGAAGAATCGCTTGCGACGAAGAATCGCAGTTTGAACTTTACCCCCGCCGGGCATCAGTCCTCCTCCTTCCATTGCCCAGCTGTTGTTTGGTGTGATAAAACGTACGGTACGGTATGCATTCCGGCAAAAATAACTCGAAAACCTTGTGTGCTGCGACAGGCCTTCGACTTCACCCAGCAAGAAGGAGACGAAGAACCAGAGGAGGATGCGGCGGCGGCGGCGGATGGCATGGAGGTTGACGAGCCGGTGTCGGGCCAAAAGAGGCCCGCTGGGGAGGAGGGGGGAAACGGCGGCGATGAACCGGAGAAGCGAGCGCGAGGACCCGCATGATCGGCATGGGGGAGGGGGGGTGGGCACTCATATAAACGCATCTCGTATGTCGAAGACCATTGACCTCGCATCCCGACACAGCCGGGGCGGAGCACGCCGGGTTCTCACCGGACCAGGCTCTCACATCACCAAGCTCGAAGCGCGTGTGCTCATAGTCGTGCATGCCGTAGTCGTTGACCATTCACGTCGCCAGGGGGGGGGTTAGAACGGTCACGGCGGTAGCAAGGTAGGATTGCGACGGGCGTTGGCAACACGAGCAACGGTGTTGGATAACAATGAGGAGTTGCAAGGGATTCGTGGGCGTTTGGGGCGTATTGCTTGCTTGCTGCCACGACAATCGTGATCGGGGCGCGGGGAGTGTTTTGTCAAGGACGAAAGAGTCGGGAGGTTTACGTACGTACGTATCACAACACCGATGTGCTGCGGTGAAGCGCCATTTAGCAGGCGGCGTTGGTTATTGAGCGCTGTTTCCGGAACAACACCGCCTTTGCTGGGGCTGAAGGCTGTTGCTATGCGGGTGACGGGCGGTCTCTTATTTTTCTGTCCGTATCAAAGGTATATAGGAGTTGTGATCGTCGTGGTTGTGCCTAGAGGTAACCGTTGTTGGAATCTTACGTATGTGTGCACTTCTGTGACTTGGCAATTTTTCAGTTGGGCGAAAAGGACCGGTTGGCATTCGCTGCACGCACCAGAGGAGCAGGAACACTGTATTGTTCTGTCACCGAGACAAAAAGAAGTGTCGAATCTACACCTACCAGCCCGTGGGTAGCCCCGGCCTCAAGGGAAGCCCTGTTCCTTTTTGCCGGCGTGCTCACAAAGGAAGGGCCGTCTCAAGAACTAACTCCCGAACATGTGTCACGACCAGGAATGTACACAAGTGAAGGAGGGCTCTCGCATGCGTGTTATATGCGAAAGAAAAGATTCACCGAGAAAAAAAAAGAAAGTGTTCGAATCTACGCACAGTGTGATCGTTCCTGGCAGTTCCTGGTTGTACTTTCCTCTTTTCCTGCCTTTGATGTCCCCCGCTCGCAGTCTCCGTCGACCCACCCGCATGGGTTTGCTTGCTCAACTGGCGAGCCCCCTCTGATCCGTGGTATGTGGCTTCGTTTAGTGGTGGGAAAACAACCCCGTGTTCAAATCCCGCCCGCCCCCAAAGAATGGTGGAACAAACCGCGGAGATGACGCTTAAGAAGGGTCGCCTCTGTCCAGCTTTTGTCTATTGAGGATGATTCCCCCTTTTGTCAAGCCATTGGGTTTCGGTATCCCACAAATGAATTAGGAATCCCGTGCAAGACAGACAGATCTACGAGAAGCACTGCCGCTGCGTGGGGGAGGAAGGACCAAGAAAAATGTGTATTTCGAGGCTTACCTGTGGAATTGTCCAACACCGGTGGTGAAAATAGGCACATACATCTATCTTTCGAAGCAGTGTTTCGACTCGTCGCCACTCAGACGGTGTCCGGTACTCTTACAAAGCCTCTCTTCTTGCCTATCAAACAAGGGAGGGGGGGCGTTCTGAAAATGCATGCTGTGTAGTCGTTAGACCATTGACTTCGCAGCCCTACAAAGCCGAGACGGAGCACGCCGGGTTCTCACCGGACCACCGGCCCAGGCTACGTTTTACAAGGAGGGTGAACCAGAAGCTGATCATCACGTCATCATCCTTGCCTCTCAAGTGGGGTTTTTCCAAACGGTCACATGTCACATCCGTCGAGGCCAGGCGAATCCCTCTTCATGGACAAACCCCCGGTTATGACATCGAGCACATTTTTCACTCGTCATTGTTACCAGTGTGACCACACGATAAAAATCTCGACACAGACAGAACCAACACCATACATGGGAAGAATACACCGTCACCAAGACACTGATGTAATACGAGGAACGGATCTGGAATGTTCTATACAATTTCCAGAACCGTGCACAAAACAAAAGAACAGACGTCAAAGAAAGCAATTTCACCATCACGTCTTTTGTGCGACCGAGTGCCGAAACGGAAAAAAGGAGGCAAGAGGGAGAAAGTTAAAGCAGTTCAAGCGCGTGTGACGCCACGACAGCCCTTCCGTCACCCCAAATCACCATTCTTCTTCGTCATCATGCCCAGGCAGGCAGATCCTCCTCTGTCACCGTCTACACCGCCAGAACACCTCCGCCACCACCGTCTGCGTCGGCATATCGCTCCGTCCCGGCATTGTGCAGGTGCAACGTCAAAGGCCTGACGACTACGTCATATGCATCTATATGAGTACGAACCCCACCCACCAACGTCTGCCTGATATCTACTTCACGTTGAGACTCAGAACCCAGTTGCTCTTTATTTATCTTGCTACCGGTATTTTTTTTGCCAGACAGCGGTGTTATTTGTTGGTCTGACATCCGCACCTGTTGCCACCCGACTTGTTTATTAACACCGGCAAACAAGGGGAGCACAAAAACTCGCAGTGCCAAGCGATAGCGCAGACGCAAGCCACGCCGGCGACATGCAGCACTTACATACATACGCATGCATGCATACACTTACAGACCACAAGAATGCGTACAGATTTTTTGCTGCTATGTAGACACCTTTCAAAAATACAAGGGAGACAATAACAAACGGTTGGGGAAACGAACAGAACTTGCGGAGGGCGTGTGCCACATTCACGTCGAACCTACATACTGCTGTATCACCGACTGTGAAAGTCGAAACCCACACCCCGACAAAAGAACCGCAGCTTCGCTTGCTTCAACCGTTCTAATCCCGAACGCTTCCAATCGTGCGAAGCAAGGCTACTCGTGCACAAGAGGTAACACGAGATACATTTGCCTGCCCCCCCCTGTTGCTGTTATCTCACGCTTATCCACGCTTAAATAACCGAACGGCAGACGCCCCCCCACGCTTCCAAACACTAGGCCTTTCTCCTGCACCTCAGCGATCAATCAAAAGTGTCCCAATAGTTCGAGATATGCACGGTATCATGAATTCCCGTGCTGTCGAATACCGTCTACCACAGGATGTCTATCAGAATGAGCCTGGCAGAAATATCCCAGCACCGCGCTGCACTGCTGTCTGTGTTTGGTACTGCACCTGTCTTATCTACCTTGGTAGAACACTTGACGCCGAGGGTGCTCTCTCTACCGTTCACTCTGTTTGATCTCAAACACTCGCTCGACTCGGGCACGCCATCTCTGTGCGTGCGCATGAATGTACAGTATGTCTTCCCCCACGCATTCCATTAGTACGCGCGTAAGAGCGAAAGCTCCCCCGCCCCCTCCTCCCTCGATCATTGGCGATCTACCGAACCCCTTTCAAAACATTTGTGTGTCATACAGGCAGCCACATCGCATCGCTCACCACCTAACGCTCTCGTAAAAAACGACCACCGTGCAATCTCATTCACCCTCTCGATCTTTCTCGTATGTACAAAAACACACGCTCATGCCCTGCGCTTCCCGCCTGACTCTACCTCATCGCCTCGTTCGAAAAACACCGGAATGTCGAGGGCAACAACTGGACCGACATGTCCAAGAGGGAAAAGCACATCTCTTCGCTAGGTCTCCCCTACCCGTTCTTTCTATCTTCCTCTCCTCTGCCCGTGCTACCGTGTCCTCTCTCGCCAAAGCAGCAGCCCCCGTCCAGGTTCATCAACCGATGATTTTTCGGGCTCCCGTTAACCCCCAATTTATTGTCTGGTACACGCACATGCACACGACCGAAGGTGGGCTGGTGCCTTCATTGCCCGCTCACCCCGTGGCTGTAGTCTAATTTCTAAGAGATCGAGCTTGAAAATTCCGGAATAAATCACAACAAGAGTCGAGCCTCGACAGCGGCCAACCTCACGCTGAATTAAATCCCTTTTGGGGGGCTACGCCATGATGGCCGACTCTCACTCCACTTCATCACGTGAGCAGCAGCACCAGCAGCACCAGCACCAGCACCAAAAAAAAAAAAAAAAACGCTTAGCGGTAGCTACCTCAGCACGACCCCCATGAGCCCCAGAACGAGCGCGAGCGGTCCGAGCGTCTGTTCGATGGCCGACGAAAGCCTCTCCTTAGAGTATGAGGAGCGACCCACGAGGAACAGGTTGACGTAGAGCGGCAGCACGAACAGTGCGGACAGGGCCGCCGCCGCCGGCCTTTCCGGGTCCGCCGTTCCTGATCACGATGGGTTAGAAGGGGGGGGGGGTATTTTGATGTGAGAGGATCTTGATACAAGAGGGAGGGGGGTGATGGGGGAAGGGGCGCAGAGTTCGTGGTTCCTGACCATGACAGGGTAGAAGGGGGGCTTGTTACCATGTGAGAGGAGGGAGCGGGGGGCGCCGACCGGCCTCGTGTGGTTCCTGACCGTTATGGGTTAATAGTGGGGATTGAATTGAGGTGAGAAGGGGGTATTATGGAGGGAGGGCTCGCAGAGTCAATGGTTCCTGACCATGACGGGTTTGAGGGGGGTTGTTTCAGCATGAGAGGGAACGGGGGAGGCTTCCAGAGTCAACGGTTCCTGATTATGATGTGATGGCAGGAGGTTTGATACCGCGTGAGAGGGGCGGGAGGCGGGGGTAAAGTCCAGTCTCACCAGACTCCTCAAGGAACGACAAGAGGTTTGCTCGACAAGCAAACACCTTCTTCGTTCCTTAAAACGCCGCCGACAACAACAACCCTTCTGATGATGAGATGATGCAGGCTGCTACCTGAACGCCAACGAAAACTCTACCAAACAATCACCCTTACGATGATGCGATGATGCAGGCCGCTTCCTGAACGCCAACGAAAACTCTACCCAACAATCACCCTTGCGATGATGCGATGATGCAGGCCGCTACCTGAACGCCAACGAAAAACCTCCCCAACAATCACCCTTGCGATGATGCGATGATGCAGGCCGCTACCTGAACGCCAACGAAAACTCTACCCAACAATCACCCTTGCGATGATGTGATGATGCAGGCCGCTACCTGAACGCCAACGAAAAATCTACCCAACAATCACCCTTGCGATGATGCGATGATGCAGGCCGCTACCTGAACGCCAACGAAAAACCTCCCCAACAATCACCCTTGCGATGATGCGATGATGCAGGCCGCTACCTGAACGCCAACGAAAACTCTACCCAACAATCACCCTTGCGATGATGAGATGATGCAGGCCGCTACCCGCTACAACAACAATACCCCCTTGCGATGATGATGCAAGCCACTATTTATTACAACCCAGACGACACGATTGACTGCGACGGCACGCACACGCACCCTCGAGAATGCCGACGCCGGCGGCGCCAACCCCCACCGACAGCAGCGCCGTGGCGAAGACCAGGGCAGCCTGGCGGCCCATCAGCACCGGCAGGGTGCGTACCCCGGCCTCCCGGTCGCCCTCCACGTCGGCGATGTCCATCAGGACCTCGCGATGACCTTAGGGTTTAGGGTTTTAGGGCTCAAGGTTAGGAGTTTTAGGGTTAGGGTTTATGGTTCTGAGTTGTAGGGTTAAGGGTGTTAGGGGTAGGATTTAGGATTAGGGATTGTGCATTTGAGCATAACAACACGTTCGGTATTAATGTATTTATCCCCCCGCGAAGAGGGGAAGGGAGGTCACAAGGGGATGAAAAAAACATTCCGCCACGTGAAGGAACTATGGGGATGAAGCCGTGAAGACATGAACAGCATCGACAGAACGCAGCGCGCATCCCCTGGAAATCCGAACTCGCCCGAGAAATATCTATCTCGCGTTGGAAATTGTCATAAGAGTGCCGACCAACGCAACCAACGAGGGGTCGGGCGGGGGGCTGATCTCACAAAGCCAAAGACACATGAGCGACAGAAATCCTTGGCCTTATCCTCGCATCACTGCGACGAGCTGCGAAAACGGCTATGTACCACAAAAAAAGGAAATTTCCTCCGGGATGGAACGGTGATACCGTGTATATAAGGCGGAGAGATGGCACCCCTCCGAGACCGACCTTCAAAGATCGATTGCTCCACAACCAACGAGGTACGGAAATAGTCCGATACGTCGACGGAAAGCCCTCGACGACATGTTTCCAAAACGAACATTCTTGGTGTTGGCACAACCTTGGCTGTGGAGCAGTCGAGCCTTGAAAGTCGCTTCAGGAGGGGTGCCATCCCCCCGTCTCTTGCGAAACCTGAAACCATCTCTAAAAATAAAACTACGACAGCAAACTCAAGGGGGTGGCCCTCGCCCCCCACCTTCCTGACAGTGAACGACCTACCACCGCATGAAGGTCGCCTCTATGAGATGGCTCGAGCCCACCACCTACCTCTCCGACATCAACATTTCGCAGAGGGAAACCCGTGGCACAGGGGATCAATCAATCCCAACCCCTTTAACAAAAGAAAACCGCCAAAGCTCGCGGAAACCGGTGATCTGGGCACCATAGCGTAGGTTATACAAGATATCACACCCCCTGTACCGATCTTCAGAGCTCGACTACTCCACTACGTACAATCCAAAGGATACGGATTCGGAAAACTTCTCGGCGAGAGGCCGACAATTTTTCGGCACCGCCTCTCTTTCTGCTGCGGGGAAATCGAGCTTCAAAGGTCAGCCCATGTCTCCTTATCCAGCGCTAGCAGTCGAGGATTGTCGTCGAGATGCGAAGAGGAGCGCACCCTTCCGACCAGAAGTGGCGCCACCGCGAACGCATCCGTTCCCGATCACCAATTTTCCAAGCGTCGGGTCAAGCCTAAACAAAAACGTAAGGTCAAGACTCAAAATAAGCCCGGTATCCAACGGGTTTTTCCCCCCGTTGACGAAAAAGACTTCAACCCATCCCCTTCAACTCTGTGGTTATATCTCAAACGGGTAGTCTCCCTTTGATTGTATGTATATTTCCAAAAGAAAATAGCACCATAACTCACAGGTGACGCGAGCACACGTACTATATTGTATCACGTCTCATGCCACCTACGGCGGATTTGAACCCTCCTCCCTCACCGATGACGAAAAACGTGAGCACAGATGGGGTGAGAGTCGACGCGACCCCGGCGCCCGCGGCCAGCCCCCCGGCGCCGATAGCAGCGGCGATGACCATCGCCACCACGAAGTTCTTGACGAGCGGGATCGGCTTCAGCAGCGGGGTGTACGCTAGGGTTAGTGCCACGGAGGCTACGATGGTGGCCTGTGTCGGCGGGAACATCGAGAGAACGGGCCTCGTGAGGGTAAACCAAGAAGGCAGCACCACCATTGACGCATGCGCTCCTCGCGTGTGTGAAAATAGTGGGACCAGCAGAGAAACATCTACCCCAACATTGATGTGTGTGCCCATGTGCGTGATACAACAAATGCAGCAGCACCAGCGGAGAAACAGCTACCACCGTCGATGCAAGCGGGGGTCAGAACCAAGCATGGCAGCACAGAAAACAGCAGTGCATACCAGGTGCCGTTGGCACACGACGTTCGCCGGGTTAAAACGGGACGGTTGTGTCAAGTGGGATGAACGCAGTCGTCAAAGTCACGGAGGTCATCACAATTGTGTTCTTGTTTGTGAACCGTTTCAGACGGACACGAAATCGTGAAGAATGAAAAACGTTTGTCCTCTTTATCGTTTCTGAAACATGCCAGGTTTGGTGCGACCCAGGTGTCAGCCACCACAACTGCCCACATACATGCCTCCGACTGCCGAAACCCCTTGCTTCTCGGGAGAGATACGGCACACATCTTACTACTATCCATCTCGTTGGATTTTCCCAGATTGCTCGCCGGCAAAACAACAAAAGCCGCAGACCGTTAACAAGCCCCTTACCACCCAACCAAAAACCGCACACCTGCAGCGCGGCCGGGTTGACGAAAGAGGCGCTTGCCACGGCCGCCAGAAGAAAAGCCACCCCGATCCCAAGAGCGTGAACGGGAACAACCTCGCCCGTCACCAGCGGCCTCTCCGGCTAGAGGGGGCGCGTAGAGGAGAAAATTGGGGGAGGGGGGTGGGTGGGGGGGGTACTTGTGGTCTCTGCGGCTGGAGGCAGTGTGCAGAGGCGAAGATGTGGGGAGGGAGGGGGCGTGCTCATGTTTTGCTTGCCTCCGCGGTTAGACCAATGAACACGCGCCCTCGAGCGATTTGGAGGAGGGGAGGTGGGAGTACTCGTTTTTTGTATACCTTCGCGGTTTCACCAACGATCGCGCGTCCTCGAGCGGTTGGAGCAAAGAGGGGAGTATGGTTGTGCGGAGAAACCTCTAGGGTGGCGGCGATGGCAGCAGATATCTTCTCTTCGTCCCTTGACTCTTCTCGTCTTGGAACTTTCATTTTTTTCGCGTCCCAGTTGAGAAAAGTTGACTTGTTGTTTCTTGATTCTAGATAAGTCGCTCGCGCTGTTTCTACCTCCCCTCATGTCTACCAGCGACAGCTGGGGAGATCGGGAGTCGCAACTGTTCCAATGGCCCTGAGATCACCTACCACCGAATACCATGTATGGGTTGAACAGGAAAGGGAGGGAAGGATATGGACGCAAATGCCAGAGACAGAGAGGGATCGGAAACAGGGTTGGGGAGCGGAGGACGGTACAACCACGATACGCACAACTCTGTTTCAACAAATTGAAGAGGAAACAAGTACGGGTGTGTGCCGCTGTACTTAATGACACTCAGCCCGAATTTTTTTGGTAGCGACCTCCCGAGAGCCGGCGAAGCGGACGACGTAATTACCCTCTCTTCCTTAGGTGGTGCCTCGATACTGGGACGTCCATCCCGTACCCCCCGCCCACCCCCAAAAAAACGCTCTGCTCCACGAGATTGATGGCAAATGGCGGCTAGGTGCTGTGGGAGAGAGGCGGATGGGCCCGAAAATGGCATCACGAGAATGTGACTGAGGGAGACTACCATGTGCAGGACAGGACAGAGGAACACGTGGCAACCACAGCGTGAACGGCACATAAACGTGGCCTCGCGCTAGCTAGAGCAACGGACCGGATTGCAGACAGGAGGAAAGCATTAGGTGACAATACACAACACCTCCCCCTCCACCGGAATTTACATGAGCACTCCCTCCCACCTCTATCGAAAACGTCTTCGCTGAATGAACCACCAAGACCATTCTGCCCAGAATCACCAAGATAGTGGATTGCTGTTACTTGTTGTTTCGCCGCACCTCGTTCACGCGGTCCAACTCGATGTCGAACCAGTCGTTGAGGACGCAGGACCCGACAGACACTGCCGCGGCCGCAAACGCCGTGAGCAGGACCTTCATTGGTGCAAGGGAACATACACACCAGACAGCGGTGGCGGGCGGGCGGCGGGGGGGCGGAATTGTCACGCTCGTAGGGGTTTCCGGACTGCGAACAACTATGCATTACTAGGATCATGGGTATGGGGCCCACAATGGCGCCACAAACAAACATTAATTTCAGGATTCATGACGTTTGCAGCTGATACCGCCGAAGGACTGTGTGATGTTGCGTACTCTCCTTTCGCAAGCATTTCGGAACCCCGAGACTTGCTTGAAACCCTGTCGTCTACCTTCCTCCGCGGACCCACCTTGCTGGGGGAGGGCGCTGACGAAAAATCATGTTGGCGGAGATTTTTGCATCCCTATTTGACTTACACCATATCGTTGGCCAGGTTGGCCTGCTGGTTTCGGTTGTAAGGTTAAGGGGTAGTGCGGTCGTCCCCACATCAAGAAACACGCACATACGCACTTGCTCTCCATGGAGTATTATTATCTATCAGTGCGCCGAATTCGATCTGGCCTGCTTGTTACCCTGCAACCCGTTTTGGTTGCGTCTGTTTGCGTATTGAACTAGGCACGAACGCATGCAACCTATCTCGCCGGGCTGTCGCAACGAACGGGCCCCGGATTCAGAACTAAGTGTTGAATTATCCCGTTAATCTTAACAAAGAGGCTCAGATTTTCACAAAAACCAAGATAGCAGGGCTTGAGACAGCTCAGCCGTGGATTCCACACTAAAACCAATATAATAACCTGTGGTCGGCGGCGACGACGATATGACAGAGTTCATTCCCGACCCGTACTACAAAGTAGACGTTTTGTTGTTGGCGGGCCCGCGCCAACTTTGATCGGAAAATCGGGCGTCATCGGTAAATCAGGCGAACTCGTGACAGCGTCGAGTCGACGAGTGCATCCATCCGTCGAAGTTCCGGTGTCGACCTCTTGCTTGTTTGTCCATTGGCAGTATTGGGAGCTCACATGGTGCATCTCATGGGCGTCCCATGAACTGGTGGAAAGTCTCACGGTGACGTTTCGTGGGGGTCCCATTCCTCTCGATGAGCCGGACGCACAGACGCATAGATCGAGAGGACGCTTGGGCTGCTACCGGTGTCTTCTCACTCACGGCCACGCATGACAATTCATGGGCGTTGGATGGGCGTCCCCGCGTGCGTTCCATGGGCCGCCCGACACTCACATGGAACGTCCCAGAGGTCGTCCCACGCATCCCACCCCCCTCATGGGCGGCCCCCTACAACCCTTACGTGTTTCATGCGCCGTCCCACAATTCCCACACACAAACATCCCGTGGGACGATCGGGATGTTCCATGGAAAGCCCTTGGGATGTGTGTGTGAAATGTGGGAAGCGTCGGACGGTGTTGGACGGCATGGTACGGCCCACGGGACAACTAAAGGGTCGGGATTAGGGTTGGGAATAGGGTTCGGCCGCCAATGAGGGCTTCGAGGCACGGCCCTTCTTGCTGAACGAAGAGTCTAGATCGACCAGGACGGCCCTTCAAACACAACGAAAACAACAAAAGAAATTGCGTCTTCGGCTGGCCTCTTTTCATCACACCATCTCGAGGGGGTACATAAAAATATTGCCGTTTTGTGGGGGATTGTGTTTTTCCGACGACACTGTGAAAGCTTCTGTCCACTTCAAATATTGCAGTGCGGTGCCGTGTTCTCTCCAGTATCCCATCTCGAACTGAGTGGAATGAATCTGTCAGCTGGAGTTTATCCACCAAGAACAGAACGAAACACTAGTCTACACCCAGGGTGTGGGAAGCGTTCCCCGTTCTCCTTTTATTTTATTTTGATCGGTCTCCTCGACGCTCTTTCTCGTTTGGTGCGGTAGCTGGTCTTTCTTTCTATCATTTTGTTTCTCTTCCGAGTGGTTTTTGTACCCTATTTTTTTCTTTTTCTTCGTGGGGTCGTGTATGCCGGGTTTTGAGACCACGGGCTCCCAATCTTTCTTTTTTAGGCTCCCAATCTTTCTTTTTTAGAGCTAATGTGAGAAACAACAACAACAACAACAACCCAGCAACCATAGCAAACCCGAAGGCACTCACCTGGGTTAGCTTATAGGGGACACATAGCCTGAGCTGAATCTCTACAGTGAAAATAAGTACGTGCCTGTTGTAGCTGGGGCAGATATGAAACCACGACCAAACTGGGTTCCGCGCTGGATCAACAACAGCGGAGCAGCTGAGATCCATCCGCTGCGCCCGATCTTATTCTCTTGCTGTTGTTTTTTTTTCCGGTTTAAACACACCTTCGGTTCCAACAGCGCGACGGCGGTGTGCGAGGCAACCAACGCCCCCGCTGCCACGAGGCCGAAGGAGGCCGGGATGTTATTCGGCCTCAGGATTTCCCAGTAGGCGCTGAGGTTGGGCGGCTTCTTCTCCTTAGTCTCGGGTGTGGCCATGGGAGGGATCTGCGCCTTCGTGGTATCCGTGCTGACGACGACAACGTCATCGCCTCCGCCTGTAGAGGTGGCAAGGAGAATGACCCTACCCGTCCCGCTACGAGTGCCGCTGCTCGTCCTGGCCGGGATTGGATGGGCAAAAGACGTCCGCTGTTGGTGGTGCTGGTGCTGGCGACGTCGCTGTTGCCTTGGGGTTGAGAAGCTCCCGCGCATCGTAGATGTCAACAGCAGAACTCCGCCGTTTCTGAACAGATGAGGCTTCACGAAAGCCCCCGTGCTTGACCATGCGCGTAAGGCTAGGAGGGCGACGACGAGCCCTCGCGCTGCACTCGGCAGGGTCCAGAGGGAGGTTACCATGGCCAGCGGGTTGCAGTGTCTTGCTTGATATCACCCAAGTGCGCAGAGCAGTAAACCGCTCCTCTTAACTTGTTCTTCAACTTGTATTCGTCACGGGGATACGCAGAGAAATATGTACACATATATTCATTGTCTTCTTTAGCCCCCCCCGCGTGATCTGAGATTTTTGTCGCACATGCTCGCGTCTCGCGGATACAATTGAGTTCCCTAGCTAAGACGTCGGTCAGCAGTTTTCGACTCCCCGCTCTGTGTAGAGCTAAACCCTCGAAGGTAGCTCTCGAAGCGCGTGACAATCGATCGTTCCACAGAGTGCGAAGGAGAACGTCAATGCCTGAAAGTTGTAGCAACATCAGCAACAACCTTGCCGGCTAGCATCTACAGCAGTTCTAACAGGAGCCAGAAGAGTCAAGAGATGATGCAATCAGTCGATGACGTCAAGAGCACGGAGGAGACGAGCAGCCACCATCGCCGAGGCCGCGATGTTCCCTCCCAAGCGCCATCTTCACGTCCGGCAACGGCAACGACAGTGGCCGCCCGGGCGCTATCGAATGCCGACAACCCTCTGCTCCTCGCCAAGATGCTGGATCTCGCAAGCATCACGCGAATCTCATGGCTGTGCCGAAAAACGAGAGAGGGCTTTGGGCGAAAGGCGCACAAGGTCTGCCTGACGCACGGGGCGGGCGTGCCCGAAGACAGGAGGGTGGAGTTCTGGATGTGCGTGCTGAACGTCAAGAAGGTCAGAGTGCCGGAGAGTTACGCACATGGTTGCTGCTGCTGCTGCTGCTGCTGCTGCTAGTGTGGTACGTTGCACCTCTAGTCATCAACGTCTCTCTTTTTGCCGAAACCCCTCATCCACCCGTGTACACACATACAGCAGTAGTTTGAGGGGTTCCTCACTGAACACGCACACTTACTCACACGCCTGTGATGAGGTGGCGATACGCTCCTACTCGGTGAGCGTGCCTGTGATACGGCCGCCGCGGCGGTGTCGGGGGGAGGCTGCTCCGACAGCAACTAATCTTTCGGTCTGCACACAAACACTGCTGTTGTTTGATCCGTTTCTTGACAGTTTGAAAGGTGCTCAAACACGGCGATCGAGATTATTTTGTTCCGTTTTTCGGTCACCGAGGTCACCCACCGACTCTCGTTACTCAAGAGCATTTTGCCGCCTTCCGTCCAAGCCTTTGTGCGGCTGTACTGTAGTATTCCTGAGTCGGAAGCGAGGAGCCCCCCCGGAGAAAAATCTTGCCTCTGGCAAGGTCCCTTGTGGCTGCGGAGGATCTAACAATACGTTGAAGATAGAAAGAACGCCCGAAAACACATGAGACACATCACATCATTGGGCGTTAGACGTTGAACACGCACCGAAGATGACCGCATCTTCTCTCCCCTCAGAGCTAAACCTAGCGCGCCGGCTTGACTGGGGACATTATATGATGGGGCGCGGGAGTGGCGTCGATGTTAGTGGAGAGGATGCACAAAAACGTCAGGTTCGCCCTCGCTCTGTCAAGTTTTGTGCACGCATGTGTACCGTTGTGTAGCATTCGACTCATCATCGCCTATTGAGCACGCCCGCGCCCCCGACTCCACTGCCAATATTGTTTCGTTGTTGAGGTAGACGTGCGCTGCTTCTCTCTCGCCCCCTCCCCGCCCAGCGACTCTCTCCCTCTGTCTCTCACCCCGAGCCGAACCTCTTTCTTGCTGTCGCGTCTTTTTTGGCCTTGCTTTTCGACATCTACTGCTGTACCTCCCGGTGCAATAGGAAATGGACGACAAGGTGGCGAGAGCAAAGCGCGAGAACCCGGGCAACTACCGCGACGTGTACGAGGCTTGTTTGTACGGAGATGACAACGACGCGGTGGCCGCTCACGGATGTGAGGGGTCACCCGACGCAGCGGCAGCGGCGGCGGCTGTTTTGGATGCGGAAGCGAGCCTGTTTGGCGCGAATGCCGCGAGTGTCGATGGTGATGGTGATGGCCTGGCGATGCCGCCGCCCTCTGGATGGCGAGTGCTAAGCCGCAACGGCGCCGAGGGGGAAATATCCAGGTCAGCTTAAGGAAACGGCATCTACCATTAGGAAATATCCATACAATGAAGGAAAGTACCTGTTCGAGATACAACTACCTACAGTCGAAGAGTATTTTCTGTGAAGGGCTGTTTTTGTTGTCGGACCTACCATGTTTCGTTGTCGGATCTACATCCTGTCAAAAATGAGGCATCCTCTTGTGTTGTTCCGCCTTGTTGATTCTGCAACGAATTTCAACGTGATACCCGAAGAACATGTAGTAAAGATTAAAATCCGGGGTAAGTTGCTTGATTTAAATATGGAAAATCTCTTGGGAAATAACTTCCTGTAGATATCGGTGGGAAATTTCGACGCGCGACCCACAACCTGGACAATATTGTAGGGGACGAGAGAGCAGGAGGTTGTCGACGAAACCACTCGCCTGTCCACTAGCCATCGACAGGCATCGCGTGTTTGAAGCCAGGAGATGTGTGTCGGTCTGCTTGTCAGTCGTGGAGGTGTTGCCAAGCCAGCCGTGTAGTGACATGTGTTTTTTGTTTTTTCAGCGTCTGGCCTCGGGCGAAACCCTAGTTGTAGTGACGTCTGTTTTTTTTTTCATTTTTCAGCGTCTGGCCTCAGGCAGTACCTGGCGAGATGGGAACCCGCTACTCTTCCTATGTCATGCTGTCGTGGACATAATTTTTAGCTCAGGGTGCAGGTAACACCCGTGCAGTTGCAAAAGATGCAAACACCGTCGTCACGTGATATCTGATTGTTGTTTTACCCTTTGCGTGACGAATATTTCGGAGTGTGTTTCGATTGGCACATCTGCAAGCATCTATCGTCAGTATCCAGAAGCGCCTGCCAAGGAAGATAAATTTACTCAATGCCTTATGGCCAAGACATCGCATCTTGAGAAAGTTCGGTCTGCCCGACAGGCAGAAAACGATATTCGTTGGCAATTCGGTGAAGGGGTCGATCAAGCCGCTATAGCCATTCTAGTTCTTTCTCTTTGTGCCTCTGTTTCATGTGTCTCTGAGAGCCCCGTTCTCTCTCTCCCTACCTCCCCCGATATCTCCCATGCGTCAGTATGACCTTTCAAACTTTTTTGTAGAGAATATACACATACAAACACAGAGAGACTCACACTGCTCATGTTGCTCCGCCGCCACCGCACTCTCCCCCCCAAAAAACACAACTCGCAACGACAGAGATGTCGGCCGAACCTTCCCCCGCCAAGACTTGTTCAAGAGCCGGAACGGGCCTGGGCAGAACCTTCTCGCGAACGTTCTGAAGGCGTGCCTCAAGACCAACCCGGACGTGGGATATTGCCAGGTGCGCTCTTGTGCTACCGTAATAGGCGGAGAGATGGCACCTTCCGTAGGCCGATTATTTCAACACTCGATTGCTCCACAACCAAGCTTGTCTGTACCGTACCGTATACCGTACCATGGTAGCCCGTAAGAGGCGGAGAGATGGCGCCCCCCCTAGACCGATGTTCAATGCTCGATTGCTCCACAACCAAGCTTGTGCCAACACCAACAATGGTGGTACTGGCAACATCTCGTCGACGGTTTTCCGCACAAGTATCGGACTATTTCGATACTCCCTTGGGTGTGGAGCAATCGAGCTTTGAAAGTCGGTCTAGCGGGGGGTGCCATCTCTTCGCCTCTTGCGGAATACCACGGTACGGTATACGGTACGGTACAGACCATCTTGGTCGTGGAGCAATCGAGCTTTGAAAGTCGGTCTAGCGGGGGGTGCCATCTCTTCGCCTCTTGCGGAATACCACGGTACGGTATACGGTACGGTACAGACCATCTTGGTCGTGGAGCAATCGAGCTTTGAAAGTCGGTGTAGGGGAGGTGCCCATCTCTCCGCCTCTAACGGTACGTGTACTACGCTGCATTGTGTATGACGGTACCTAGCTTCACATGGGAACCCTTCAGGTACCCCCCACTCTGCAAGAAGGTGGAGGGTGAAGCGCGCGTGCCGCCGCCTGTCACCCACTTTGCCGCAACAAAGGTTGGAGCAAGCAAGATTTCAGGTTTTGCATTGAGGGCGAGAGGCAGCGGCGGGGGTGAGGAGGGGAGCGTGTGACGGAACATTCGCCAATTGCTACTGTGGTTGGCATTGGTTGTTCCTGATTATTGTGGTACATGCAGCTAGTGTTTGGGTTCTACACTTGCGTTTTTTATTCATTCGGTGTGTTTCATGCCTTTGATGCCGCACGTGCGGGGCACGAACTTCACAATTCCGTTTTTCATTTTTCCCCCCTCTTGTGTTTTGGCTTTCGATGCCCCGCACGTGCAGGGCATGAACTTCGTCGCAGGCTCGCTGTTGCTGGCGTGCGCCACTCGAGACCCCGCCGTGGGGGCACCGTGCTACCCTAACTGTGACCGGCGCCGCAGCGTTCGTGGCGACAGCAGCAGCAGCGTCGTCGATGATGATGATGCTGGCGTCGGTGGCGATGGTGATGTGTCTCCTTTCGTTGCAACCGCCGCTTCCACGGCGTTGTCTCCCACGTCCGCCTCTGCGTGGGAAGAATGGGACGATTTTGACGGCAGCGGGGAGGACGACAGCCAGGTTCGTTTGGGTCGACGTCGTTGTCGTTGCCGTTGTTATTGTTGTTGCCGCTGCTGGTACACATGGTTGCAGTCATTGTGGTCGATGTGGTCGTTGATGCCACTGTTGGTTGATGATGATGTGCCTGATGTTGTTCCTGTTGCTGTTGTTGTTGTTGTTGTTGTTGTATGCTGCTGCTGCTTCTGTTGAAGTCGTCGTCATCGTTGTCGTTGCTGCTGTCGTTGTTGTTGTGACCGCTTTCGCCGTTATCGTTGTTGACATGCTTTTCTTTTTTTTCCTCTTTCCTTGCCCTTCGAAATCACCTCGAAAACTATCGCTAAGGTAGTAGATTTACCACCCGTTTCAAAAAAGCACCTTGTCGGACCAACAGCAGGCCACTAACCCCTCGGGTGTTCCGATAAAAGCACCCACGATCATCCGGACAGCAGTCATTCGCGGTTTCGTAATAGATGCTTCTATTTCTCACTCCAACTCGAACAAGAACAGTCGCCTTGGCAGGGTATTTCGATTATGGAGTTGGATAAAGCATACAATAGGGGAAGTTGGGTTAGGATTAGGGTAACGGGGTAAGGGATAGGGTCTGCGCCCACCCTCCCTGCTGTTTTTCCTCATGAAGTTACTAATCGCCCGAAAGGCGGTCCAACAGGAAGCCCCACCCCTCCTTGCATATTACGATGGACGCGTGAAATTTGTCCGAGTGTTGGCCATGCCTCTATAAAAGGCGAGTAGGATAGAAATGTTTGCACGTGTTTCGTGTTGAAAGAGATACAATGAACTAGTGCGCCCCCCCCCCCCCCCCCC